CTGGACATGGGAATATCAGACCCCCTTTGCAATAACGAATCCTCCATGAGGGCGGAGATATCTAGTGGCCTTCGGCCCATGCCGCCACCGTGCATGGGTTGTTGCTTAGAGGCATCTTGGATGTTCGCTAGGGCATCGCGGGAGGTTTCTCGGGGGCATCTCAGAGGCAGGTTTGAGGCATGTTGGAGGGCGTTCTGGGGTATATTGGGGCCTAGTGTGGCATCGTTTTGGGCCGATTCGGGACCTCGTCGCGGGGCCTCTTGGGGGCGTATTCCTGGTGGGGCCATCTTGGGAGATCTGAGGCGCCTCTTGGGCCGTTTGGGGGCCCTATTGGACCATATTGGGACATTATTGGTGGCGCGTTGGGCAGTGGCGGGGCGGTCGTTCGGGCATCGTGGACCATCTTGGAGCATCGGAAACACGAAAAGGCCAGAACCCCAAAAACATTTAAAAATAGTATGGCAATGCTTTGTGCATAGCGCAGCCCTCTTGGGGGGCATCTTGAAGCGCTCTGGGGGCATATTGGAGGGCTCTTGGGCCGTCGTGGGGCCATCTTGGGCGTCTTGGGGCGCTCTCGGGCAGTCTTGGAGGCGCATTGGGCCCTCGCGGGCGCTTCGTGGGGCCACCTTGGGACCATCGTGGCCCGCATCGGGGCCATCTGGCCTATGGAGAATCCATGCGACCGAGCCCTGGAGCGCCCAAGAGCACGCAGGAGCGCCCAAGAAGTTTGAGAAGTTGGGGCCCCAGCCCATCTATACTAGGATAGATTACAGAACTCAGGACAGAGAACCATTGAGGACCTGAGAACACTCCACTTCCTGCCTCGATCGAGGCACGGTGGCGGACCGTGATGCATGCATGATGTATGCCGCATATACACATGCAATTCATTCGGGTAAAACTAGTATTGTGCGGTTGTTGTTTGAACTCTAACTGCTGAACCCTCTCCGGCGGACATTGTATTGTTCAATTGAAGTGCTCCTTCCGGGGCTCGCACCCGTTTTTGTATCAGGGAAAAACTTGAAGCTCAAATTGCGGCGTTGGCCCCCGGACTATAACAACAACGGATCCCGCCTGATGCGTCCTCGAAAATTGCTGAAGAATCGCGTTCTCGCTGGGGGCTGCCTTGCGATTTATCAAAGAATCGCGCTCTCGCCTTACAACTCCTCGCAATGAATTCAGGCGCTGCGCCCCCGACGCTCAGAAGTCGCGGCTATCGCCTCATACATCCTCGCAATGTATTCAGGCGCCGCGCCCTCGACGCTCAGAAATCGCGCTCTCGCTGGGGACTTCCGCATAATTGACTAAGGAATCACGCTCTCGCCTGAGACTTCCTCGTGATTCATTCAGGACTCGCTTTAGTCCCCCGTCCGCCAGGTTCCACCCGCCCGATCCGCACGTCGCAGCCCGCCCGTTCGTTCGCGCGGCAGCTCGCCCGCCCGCTTTAAGTCGCCGCCCGCCCGACCCGCCCGCGAGGGTCCGCCACCCGATATTGAATCGTCATTTACTGCGAAACGCCCAGGCCAGGGAGGCGACCCGAACTCAAGACAGGCGATGTCGCTCGAGACTGCCTCGCACTTCAATCAAGCGGGTGGGGGCCCAACTACGACGACAATGGTTCCCGCTCGATACTTCGTCACAATCTGTCCCGAGACGCCCTGGACAGAGAGGCCCCGAAACTCAAGAGCGGCGCTCTCTCTCGAGAATTCCTCGCAGCTCACTCAAACAAGTTGGTGCGTTGCCCGCGGGCCCGTTAGCTTGGCCCGCCGCTCATGCATCTGAAGTCCGGAAGGGGGGCAGTGCAGGGCTGACCCGATTGGCCGTTAGCGTCCCCACGGGACCACCCAACCCAATCCAACAACGGGACCGAAGGTCCACAGCGGGCGGCAGGGAGGGGCAAGACAGGGCGGCGGCAAGCATAAGAGCGGGAAAGACGGCGACTGCACAGCGGCCGCGGCAGCGGGGGGACAGGGGAACAACGTCGGCCCACGACGGGGAGGGGCGAACAGGGCCGATGCATTCAAAACGAGAGAGAACCCAGACGGCCAACCCAATCGTCGCACGGAATCATTGCTGCTCAGAGTGATCCAAGATCTGTAGGCGTTGGTGCATGCTGTGCGATCCGCTGCCCAGTAGGTCGGGGCCCCAGGCGACTCTAGTTTCATCGGATTCTGAAGGGCGTAAGTCTTGGAAAGGCGTTGCCTTTCTCGACGTGTCGGAGTCCCAACGTCCTGTGCAAGACGGGCCAGTAAACTCCCAGAAGAACCCCGAGACGGCCCACGATGCCATTGGCGGCATTGCCCAGAGAGCCCGAGGAGTGTACCAAAAAGAAAGGCCCGCCGAAAACCAGATGATCATCGAAACATCCAGCAGGCCACCAAGAGGCCCAATATTCAAGAGGCTCCGAGGAGACATCAGCAGGCCACGAGGGCCCCGCGGGCAGCGCAGATCCCAGGAAACACCCAAGAAGCCCTTCTCACAGACAGCCCCGGCAAGATGGCGGAATAGGCCGGAGGCCACTACTAGGTAGAGGCGGGAGGAGGTGGAGGAGCGACATAAGGAGTAGGGGCAGGAAAAGCGGTTGCGAGGACAGCGCGGCGACACCCACGGATCCGGCAACCGGAAACCCACGTGCGTCATGTGCGGATCGTGCAAAGGCACCGCGCTCATCTACGCGGCGACGTCCTCGAGGCAGTCTGGATCCGAGTCGTCATCGCCCCGGGGGTCCTCGCCCACCACCTCCTTGGACACGAGGCCGCTGGCGGGGAGAAGGCGGTGCAACGCGCGCCCGATGAGTGATGCGTCCCAGCCGTTGCCGAGCATCTCGCGCTCCTGGCGGTCACTCACGCCCGCTGGCACGACCGGGCGGTTCGGCTCGTGGCCCATGAGCCTGAGCGTCTAGGTGGTCGCGATGAAGCGCTGGCGGCTGAAGCTCCAATGCCCACCTGTTCCACAGCGGTTGCGCGTGAGGCACGGCGCGATGCCTTTCATGGGCGCGGCGCCCTAGGGCATGTAGCTCGTAGATACCCCCCCCCCCCCCCCCCCCTCCACGTCCACATCAATCCTCCAGCGGCCGTCGCCCTCCTCGTCAACGCACCCTCCCCCGCGCGACGACGAGGAGGGGTAGTTAAACAAGGACAGGGGGCTAGACATGGCGCGAAAGGGCGGGGGCCTTACGCTTTATATACTGCGTGTGTCCTGATTGCCCTGCCAAATGTCAGCGAACCAGTTGGCGCCCTTGACGCCGACTTTGCCCCCGCGCTCGATCAGCTTCGCGGTGGCGCTCACGAGGTTAGTCAGGCAGGTGTCCGCGGTCGGGTAGGTTGGAGTGGCGTTCTTCTTCGTGTAAGGGCCAAGGAATTCCCCCACGTCGCCCACCTTGCATTGGGCTGGCCACCTGAACCTGTTGCCGCTCAAGCGCTCGGCGACTTTCTCGACCCCGATGATCAGGGTGCGATCCTTTTTCTGTGGGATGCCGGAGTAGCGCTTGGAGTTATCTTCTTCCACGTGATGCGGTAGCGCCCATTGCGCATTTTACCCGGGGCCTTGAGGATCGCCTTGAAAACCTCCAGGTGGCTCACCAGGATGCCGGGGACGTTTTCCAAAAGACACGCCTTGGGCGTCGTGACCTCGATGGTCTTGAGATCGTCGTTGATCACCTTGCCGCTCTTCCGGCCGTTCTTGCCTGCACCTTTGCCTGCCGCGCGAAATGGGCCACGAGGGAATCCAGATCCAGGCCTATCTTTGCGATCCTTGAAAACGTTTGCATTGCCATAGAGCCCCTCGAAGTTCGCCTCCACCATCTTGCGGCGCGCCGGGTGGATGTCAGACGCGAAAACGTCGATAAACAAGTGGCCGACTTTCATCTGCTCGAGTGCCAACGCCATGCTATTCAGCCCTGTGCAATCAGACCCCACTGGGATCAGGTCGCCAAACTCACGTAGCTGGGCACAGCAGGGCTTCTTGGCGGTTGGAGCGCGGTTGGAGCATGGGCGCTTCATGGCTGCAGCGCGGCGGCGCGGGTGTCGTGGCGAGCCCCAGCCGTCGCCCATTCTAAGTAGTGCACCCCTAATACGCAGTCTGCAGCAATCACCACTTGGACCAGTGCAGCTGATGTCATGGGCGTCGGTCTGTCGAGGGGGCAGCTTCGGGGCAGCGGCGGGGGTCAAACTACATCTAGGGGCAGACTGCGGAGGGGTGGGGGGTGAATTTCGCACCCCCCCCCCTCCAACCTCAGGGGCGCCCCTCGCTGCGGAGCCTAGGGTTGCAAGCGCCTCCGGAGAATCCCCCACCCCCCGCTCCGCAGTCTGAACGGGCCTCCGGAGCCGCGTCTTCCACCGCGAGGGTCGCCCCTCGCTGCGGAGGGGCGGGGGGGGGGGGGAGGTCGACCCCCCCCCCCCCCCTCCGCAGTCTGCCCCTATATGCAGTTTGGTGCCCACCCCTGGCGAAGGCATCTGCCGAGCGAGGGAGGAGAAGGACGGAGGAGGAGGAGGCGCGCGCGTCGACGGCCACTGAGCCAAGGGGCTATACGAAAAAGAAGGATGATCGACAGAGGGAGGAGGAGGCAGATTTGGGACCTCTTGGAGCCTCATGGGGCTTCTGGGCGGCCTCTGAAATGAGGCCATCTGGGGCCGTCTTGGAGCCGCCTTGTGCCCCCTTTATTTTGATGACCACCCATGGGTCGATTCTGGGGCCCTCGTGGGCCCTCCCAGGGGCTCTGTTGGCCCCTCCTGGGGGCTCGCCGCTTGGGCCCAAGCAGCAGCGCCATCATAACACATATCATGAGCAACATAGTACAACATAGCCAGCATAATACATCTAACATAAGGTAGGCAAGCCTAATCGGGGAACGACCAACCATCATCAACCACAGGAGTTTGGATGGCGGTTGTAAGTCTAGACTAGGCAACCACCCTTACAACATAATGTGGAAGACGTATTCTTATACTGGTGAAGTGTGATGTCATGCTGATGGCGGCGATGATATGTTGAAGTTTTTTTCACGGCATACATGGATGAAGCTGCACGTGGGCACTGGTCTGATGGCGAGACCGCGGGCGTCCACAGCGACGTTCGCCATGCACTCTCGATGTTGCAACATTTCCAGCACGGCCGCCTCTGAGGCCGCCGTCTGTCGGTCATTAAAAACCCACATCCATCAGGACCATCTCGTCTTCGAGGCCCCGATGGGAGAGCCGCCGATGCCCAGCGATGGCGCCGCGTCCGACCGATGCGGCGGCGCCGGCTGCTGCCTCCGACGACGTTGCCGCCGCCGGTGCGCGCGATGGTGGTGCCTCCGACGATGCGCCGCCGCACGATGGCGCCGCCGCCGATGCGCACGATGGTGGCGCCGCCACCGATGATGCGCACGATGGCGGTGCCGCTGCCGATAGTGTTGCCTCCGATGCGCCGCGCGACGATGGCGCCGCCGCCGATGCGCGCGATGGCGCCGCCGCCGATGCGCGCGACGACGGCGCCGCCGCCGATGCGCCGGATATGATGCCGAAGAACTGGCTGCATCCGACGACAGTGCCGCATCCGACGACGATGGTGCCGCCAGCACTTGGGCGTCCAGACGCTGGCCGCCAAGGCACGGCAGCCGCCGCGCCTCCGCCAGCGCCACCACCATCATCCTCGAAAAGCTCATAGAGCAGGCTCTCGAAGAGTGGCGGGCTCGGAGGCAGGTCCTCTGCCAGCAGCTCGGGGCGCTCCCGGCGCACCATGATGCCGCCAGCACATTTGAACGCCCTGTCTTGAGCCAAAACGGCAACGGAGTGCAGATATCCTCACGTCGCAAGCCAATCTTATGAATAGTGCAAATGCAAAGCAGAACAATCCACATTCACAGAACTACCATGCAAGCAACACACCGTCAAAGTTCATCACGTACACCCCATACAACGCAAAGCATGGCAATGCGAATCATAAGTACGTATGCTAATGCCGCTTGCAAACCAATTTGCATGGCAATGCCAATCAATGCAGTACACACCAGGTGTAAACTACAACCAAATCAAACGCAATGCAATGCAACAAATAACGCTCCAGCCCGACGGAGGGGGGAACGACGTTGGCGACGCGTTCAGGGGCGGTCGACGCTTCCGAACAACCCGCCGCAAGCGCGGCGATGGCAGATACCTGCTTCAACATGTGTGCGGGTCGTTCTACCTTTCAACCTTGAACGATCGGCAGCGTTCTTTCCCGGGGGAGGGGAGGCATGATGGCGGGATGGGAAGATGAGGACGGGGAACGTGCAACAGTTACACGGGTCGAGGGCAAAGGTTACCTTCCTGAGATATCCCTTTCTTCGGGTGCTGCAGAAAGGGCCCAGCCCGTCTACTGGGGCCCAGCCCCGCAGTCCCTCGGGGGGGGGGGGGGGGGGCGATCGACGGTGACGATGGTGATGATCGATCGATGGTGACGATGGTGGCGATCGATCGATCGATGGTGACGATGGTGACAATGGCGACGATCGATGGCGAGCGATGGGGATTGATGGCGGCTTTGATGTTTTGCCATGATGGGTACCGAGGCGGCGACCGATGGACGACCTGACGGCGTGCCCGGGCCATGCCCGATATATAGAGCGAGCGATGGCGTACATCCTACCCTACTACCTGACCGTGTGTCAGCCGAAATACAAACAACCTCCCGATTCCGAAGCAAGAGGAGGGGGTGCAAGAGAGCGAGGAGGGAGGACTATTCCACGCGAGTTGCTTTGGCGCGTCCGCAGGCGCGCGGGCGCCAAATTACGCGCTGCAGCTGGGCCGCGAGGGGAGGGGCAACAGAGCAGCGAGGGGCGGGACCGCTGGAGGCCCAACAGCTGCGGGCGGCCCAGCTTGCGAACCAACTGTTCGCGAAGGCAGGAAGACATGGGGCGCAAGTCAATGAAACTGGCAATATAGTCAAGCTGGCATTCCACGCGCACGAAAGTACTTAGAGACTGAAAGCTAGGGGGCCGCACCACCTCGCTGAATTCAGCTGGCAGGAGCGCGTCATCCGCTTGGCGGACACGACGCGTGCATGCATTGCACTCAACTAGCGGGGCGGTCTGAAAGCTGTAGATGCCATCCATGCCACGGAGGCTGCAAATGGGCCGCGCGAGCACGCAGTCGGGTAACGTCGACAAGGCCGTCGACGGGGCTGCGCAATCCACGCCGACGAACGTCACCACGCGCCGACGATCGCCTGGCCGCGGCTGATTGGGCCGCTTGGACACCAGGCAACTCGGCTGCTGAGGCGGACCGAGGTGGACCAGGCTCAGGTCCGACGGGTACCTCACGAACGGCAGCAGCAGGTCTGGGGGCGCCGCAGCGTGGGCCACGCCGCCAGACGCCACGCCTCGTCGTCGTCCGCCTCGTCCACGTCGGGCGGCGTGTCGGCGAACGTCGCCACTGAAGCGCATGGGCGCGGTTGCTCCTCCACCCAGCGCTTCCACTTCTCGAGCAGGGCGTCCGCCATCTCGCAGCCGTCCGGGTTCTCGTCGCAGTGTGGCACCTCGGCCGGGCTGGACCACTCGCACGACGGCGAACGGTAGTAGCGGTAGTCGTCGTCGTCGACTTCGTCGTCGTCGGTGTGGGCCGCGTCCACGTCGCCAGCCACAGCGCCATCCACGCCAAGGATGGAGTCGCCCACCACACCGTCGTCGCTGGAGTCCGCCACGACGACGGTGCTGCTGGAAACGCCGCCGCCGCCGAGGGGGCCCGCGGAGTCCACGCCCACGTCGCCAGCCGCGCCGACGAGGATGGAGTCGTCCACAACGTCGTCGTCGCTGGAGTCCGCCGCCGCGGCGCTGGCGACGTCGTCACCACCGCCAGCCACGCCGAAGATGGAAGCGTCCTCGGCGCTGCTGGAGTCCGCCACGGCGTTGGAGTCGCCGACGAAAGGGCTCGAGCCCGCGCCCGCGCCCGCGTCGCCAGCCGCGCCGAAGATGGAGTCGTCCTCGCTGGGGCCCGTCGCGACGACGGCGCTGTCGCCGACAAGAGGTCGCGAGCCCGCGTCCAAGTAGCAGCCGCCAACCTTGGCCACGCCGAGGCTGGAGTCGGCGCGACCAGGCCGCCGCGGCACTGGCGTCCGGGAGCGCGAGCGCGGCCGCAGGAAGATCTCGACGCGCTGGGGAGGGGGGCCCACCACCGCCGATCTAAGGAATCCGCGCGGACCTCCGTCGAAAATTTACGTTCATGTCGTGTTTTCTTCCTCGAGAGGCGGCGCCGCGGTGCTCCGCGCGCGGGGCGATGTATGGCGCCAAAGTGGCGATGAAGTCCATGGAGGGAACTGGAACCACAAGTGCAGAGTTGATATGTGTGAGCGCCTCTACAGGGCGATGACGGCCTCCCACCAAGCACCATCCTCTGCAAGAATCGGGCGTGCATTTGGAGGGGCAAGAAGAGGTGGAGAAGCAGGAGGATCGGGCCGGGCGAAAGGGGGGGATAGCAAAGGGGGGGGGGGGGGAGAATCAGCTCACGGAGCTGATTTTCCCGGCGCCTCCCGGCGCCGGGAGGCGGCCATGTATCGAGGAATGGGCCCCTCGGTAGGCGCCGAAACCAGCGGCATGCAGCAAATTTCGTAACCCCCCCTTTCCCAATCCCCCCCTTTCGTCCGGCCCGAGAGGACCGGGCAGCAGGCGACGGAGGCCGAAACCCTCCCGCTGCGATCCCCCCCACGACGCGAGGGTGCCACGCGGCCTCCGAACCAGGCGCACCCCCTGCTGGCGGATGGTCCCAGACCCCCGGCGTCATGGTTTTTTCATATTGTACGTCGACCCTCAAAGGTATCGACCCATTCCCCTGGACAGGTTCTTCATCCTGAACCGTCCTTTGACGGTCCCGAGGGCCAGCAAGAGCCTCCAGAGAACAAGAATACGGAACAATCTCCCGCCATGATTTGTCACTACCCCAGGGTGCACGATTTCCGCCGGGGCCGTAGGCAACCCGAGGAGGAGGAGGAGGAGAAAGAGGAGGACGTGGAGGAGGGGGAGGGGAAGAAGGAGGTGGAGGAGGCGGAGGGGGAGGAGGAGGAGGAGGAGGAGGAGGAGGAGGGGAGGAGGAGGAGGAAGGAGGAGAAGGAAAAGACGGAGGAGGAGGAAAGAGGAGGAGTGAGGAGGAGGAGGAAGAGGAGGAGGAAGAAAAACCAAAACCTCCCGCCAAGATTTGTCACTACCCCAGGTGCACGATTCCGCCGGGGCCGTAGGCAACCCGAGTAGGAGGAGAAGGAGGAGGAGGAGGAGGAGGAGGAGGAAGGGGAGGAGGAGGAGGGAGGAGGAGGAGGAGGAGGAGGAGGAGGAGGAGGAGGAGGGAGGAGAGGAGGAGGAGGAGGAGGGACGAGGAGGAGGAGAGGAGGAGGAGGAGGAGGAGGAGGAGGAGGAGGAGGAGGAGGGAGGAGGAGCGAGGAGGAGCGCGACCCGCCGAGGCCGAGGCGCGGTAGGGGACCCGGCTGCTCTCGTCGCGGAGGGCCGCGATGACCTCGAGGCCGCGGCGGCCGGCGGCGGTGCGGACCTCCCTCGCCTGCTGCCGCTGCTGCTCGCCGCCCGCCCCGGGGCTGCCGCTCCTGCCGCCGCCCTCCCCGGGGACCTCCTCGCGGTGCGTCGGAGGTTTCCCCCGGGGCCGCAGGCGACCCGAGGAGGAGGAGGAGGAGGAGGAGGAGGAGGAGGAGGAGGAGGAGGAGGAGGAGGAGGAGGAGGAGGAGGAGGAGGAGGAGGAGGGGCAGGAGGAGGAGGAGGAGGAGGAGGAGGAAAAGGAGGAGGAGGAGGAAAAGGAGGAGGACCAATGTATAACCAAGAGTCCTCAACGATGTTTGAATTAACCCTCCATCCAAGCTCCCTCATCAGGGACCCCCACAACGGTTCATTCCCATTGAGGGAACTGCCTCGTTGGAAGACAACCGTTTGAAGCTGAAACATGCCAAAACATTGTTCTCGGAATTTCAACGCCGCGTATCAACCTGACTGCTGCGTCTTGACGATCCGGAATCGTGCGAGAGCGCCACTTTTAGGACTTCAACACCGCGAACCAACATAACTGTTGCACCCGCGTAATCCTGAATCCTTCCAAAACACCATTCCTGGTACACAGATCACGGGAATCCTTGAATTGAAACGCTTACATGTTTTGAGCAAAATCAGCAAATGTGCGCGTCGCTAAGGCGAGAGCCACAATTTGAAAAAGAACCGCCCTCAATCCGTGAAGCTCTTGCAAATGTTTAAAACGAATGCGCGTGGCGCTACGGCGAGAGTCACAATTTGAAAACCACCCGCTCTCGATCCGTGAAACTCTTGTAATGTTTAAACGAATATGCGCGGCGCTAAAGCGAGAACCACATTTTGAAAACCACCCGCCCTCAATCCGTGAACCTTGCACATGTTTAAAACGAATATGCGCGGCGCTAAAGCGAGAACCACATTTTGAAAACCACCCGCCCTCAATCCGTGAACCTTACACATGTTTAAAACGAATATGCGCGGCGCTAAGGCGAGAGCCACATTTTGAAAACCACCCGCCCTCAATCCGTGAAATTCTTGCACATGTTTAATGCGAATGTGCGCGGCGCTAAGGCCAGAGCCACATTTCGAAAACGACCCGCCCTCAATCTGTGGAGCTGTTGTCACTGTTCAAGCTTCAGAATCATAAAGGGCGAGGAATTCTGAGGCGAATCGCCTGGCCCGCCCTAAAAGCTGGCCTGGGGGTGCGACAGGGAGGAGTTATCTATAAGGAGAAGGGATAGAGGAGAAGGAGGAGGAGGAGGAGGAAGAGGAGGAGGAGC